TTTTTTTTTGGCAGGGTCTTGCTAAATTGCTGAGGCTAGCCTCAAGCTTTTGATTCTCCTGCCTCAGCCTCTCAAGTCACTGAGATTATAGGCTGCCATGCCTGGCGTTAATTTAATTTTTAATAGCTATGTTTAACAACTGGATCACCAAATTTTTGGAAATGTAGCAACTGGTTCTTTGGGTAGGTTTTGACATATGCTTGGTCAGTCCCTCCAATTCTGCCTACAGCCTCAGTATTTGACCTTGTGCCATGCTTCAGTGACAAAATAGGAGCCACATGAGAATTCCTTTTCCTCATCTCTGAGTCTACAAACCCAGCATCCACTGGCCTCAGTCCAGTCTTTTCCTTTTCCCTCTGGCTACAAAGGAAGACCCCTATCCCTTCTCCTTCCTGAGGCCAGGCAAATGGTGCTCTGGATTCTGGCTCCACCCACTTCCTTAGAAGCCTCAGCTCAATGGTCATCCTTCTTCTCTCCAGGCTCTCAGAATTGAAACAAATTGGCTTCCCTCCAGCCCTCAGTCCCATCTCCCTGTCGGCTTCTACCCTGCATCACTTCTCTCCTTTCACAAACTTGTTCCAAAAATCAATTTCTGCCTCCCCCCACCCCACTTCCCCTCCTCAATCCACTCCCATCTCTCTTCAGTCCAGCCAACAGTGCAGGAGGTTTCCTCTTCAGGCTCTCCGGTGCCTTGCCTCTCCTGAATCCTCTCTGTCTGATCCCCAGTGGTGTTCCAATAGCTCCTCCTGCCATGCTCTCCAGACCTTCCCCCCGAAGCTCCCCTTCTCTTCTGATTGGCTCCTGATTTCTTATTCTTATTTCCTTGTCTCTTACATACTGGGGTTTTCCTCTGTGTCCTCTCCTTGGTAGTCTTCTCAGGACAACTGTTTATTCCCAAGGCCCTGGTGACCAAGGCCTGCTGGTACCTCCTGGATCTGTCCCCTTGGGTCCCTCTGAACTCCAGGCCACTGATGAAACTCAGTGTGGGGACCACAGGGCTAGGATTAACAGAATTAGCAAATAAAGAGGTCACCAAATTAAATTTGAATGTCAGGTAAAGAATAATTTTCCTTTTTAGTACAAGTATGACCCAGATAAATAACAAATAAAATTTTAGTACAAGTATATTCCTAATATTGCATGGTCATACTTTTATTTAAGTCCAGGCAGTTAGACTTGTCTGTTTAAGTCTGACAGAGAGCACTGATTGTTATGGTTCGAATATGAGGTGTCTCCCAAAAGCTCGTGTGTTAATGCAGGAATGTTCAGAGGTAAAATGATTGGATTGCTGGGAGCTGCAATCTAATCAGTCCATCCTAGTTTGAATGGACTGACTGGGTGGTAACTGAAGGCAGATGTCACAAGGCTAAAGGAGGTGGGTTATGGGGGTGTTTCTTGGACAGGTGCTTATTCCCTGTGGCTCCTTCCCCCTCTTCTGCTTCTTGGATACTTGAAGGTAAACAGCTTTCCTCCACTGGCCCTCTCCTGGTGATGTGCTGCCTTATGTTGGGCCTAGAGCAATAGACCTGGCCTTCTATGGACTGAAACCTCTGAAACCAAGAGCCTCAAATAAACTTTTCCTCCTCTAAGTTGTTGTTGTCAGGTATTTTGGTCACAAGGATGCAAAGTTAACTAAATCAGCAATTAATTCAAAGGAAGAAATCATGACTGGTGGATTTTTAAGACCTGAGTGTACGGTGATATTTTTGTGGGCAGAGGCCTTCCAAATATTCCCTTCAAATCTTAATGCTCTGTTAAAAAATTACTGGTTTGTTATACTTTTATTGTTATGATATTAGTATTGCTTGGTTTGACTTCTAATAATAGTGTAGGATAATAATAGGACCTACTCACAGAATGGTAGTGAGAATGAAATGACTAAATGTAAAGCACTTGTCAAAGGGGCTGGAGTCATCTGGGTACAGTGAGCTGGGGTTCTGGAAGGAGGAGGGCTAAAGGCTAGTGACCACCACAGCTCATGCCTCCCCCACCAGTGCCCCTTTACCTTGTCCTCTGGTGGACATTTATGTTACTTGGCAGAGAAGAGACCCAGAAGTGGGGTCCCCACGGCTAGGCAAATTGGGAAGCGAGCCAGTGAACCTGGGGACACAGCTTCCATTCATCTGCTTCTCTGGGCTCTCCTTGCTGACTTGGTAGAAGGAAAAGAGAAAGCGGAAAAAAGCCAACTGACAAAATCAACAACAATAAAGAGAAATTCGCTAAAAGGGTGGAATTGTCTCCCCATTCCCAGGAAGGCAGCTGGGGGTTTGGCGCCTTGAGGACCTGGCGTAGACAGCGGCTGTGCATGCCTGCATGCCTAGGCTGTGGGCAGGAATCCGGGGTGGAAGACCGGTACCAGAGAGGCGGCTGCCATCCTGGGATCCCGTCCTGCCCTTTGGCTAAGAAAGGGATGCCGGATAGGGGGCGGGGCACAAAGTCATGATCTGTAATGGTAAATTCCTTCCAGGACAGAAAGCCACTCAGCGACTTCGTGATGACTCGGGGTCAGGTGTCTCCTGTGATTCGAATCTATCCTTGTGAGAATCCTATTTCCCTTTTCTGGAAGAAATTGGGCAGGCAACTGGGATGATCGTTGGGCTCCAGGGAACAAAATAACGTGGATGGATAAGTCCTGGAGCTGGCCCTCCTTCGCCACCCCAAGCAGCCCTGGCTACAGACCGCTCACAGAGGAGCTGACTTTGCGTCGGGGAGCCATGAAAGGATTTTACATGCATTATCTCTTCCTTTCCCACGACTGACCCCCAGCCCAGAGAGGTTGAGTCACTTGCCTAAGATAAAAAGCTGTTAAGCAGCTGAGCCCAGGCTGCTGCCTGGGATACCAGCTTTTAACCCTTTACCTGACAAGACTTCAGGCTCAGCACAGCACTCCCTATAGCTACGACCAGTAATAGTGGGTAGGCACTTGGCATGAAACTTGCTTTCCAAACTCGTTACATTGCCACAGGGGCTCAGAAGCCAATCTTCGTGGCTGCTGGATAACTTGATCGGGTGATCTCCCACTTGACACGTTTATTTATGGAACCACAGAATAGTACATCTAGAATAGACCTAAGCCATGGAGTGCAGGATGTGGATTTTTAAGAGGGGAAATCAGAAGCCCAAAGAAACGAACACATTTCACCAAGATCATTCAGGAGTGTCTGGCGTTCTTTGGGGAGGTTTGTTAACTCTCCCTCTTGCAGTGTTCCTCACCCAGGGCTCGGCGGGAGAGTCTTGACGCGAGATGCCTCTGGAGCCCCAGACCTGGCTTGCAGTCTCTCCTGCTGCCGCCCTGGGAGGGGGAAACGTCAGGAGTCCCGAAACCAGGCGGTCGGTCAGCGGAACCGAGCGCAGTTCGCTCTCTTGGAAAATGAGGCTGGGCTTTTTGTCCTAGCGCCCACTGGCGGTGGAAGTCCTTGGGCGTCGTAACGTTCCGTGGCCCTACACATGTTCTGGTAGAGGGAGCCAAGGATGGGCCCCCTTGGATTGGGTAGCCACCAGGTGCTGGGCACAAATCGAAGTTAAGTCAGTTTAAAGGACTGGCAAATGTGCACCAGAGACCCACAGCCTCTCCTGCCCAGGTCCTGGTTCCCATCTAGCCCATTTCAGATGGCTCTGAAACTCCCTTTTCAAAGCTTGGCCCTTTGGGGCATGAGGTCATAAAACGTGAGAAGCACAAAGAAACCCCAACTGGCCCCCCTACATTAAAAGTCCCTTGTCTTCTGTTTAACCTCATGAAATGTTATCTTATTTTAACAGCTGTTTGCACAGTGATCCTATCAACCTCAGCAGCAAGCACACTCTAGGTATGGGAGGAGGGATGAAGACAGAGAGGCTGGCACAAGCAGGTGTGGCCAGAGGTGACCCAAGGTCCCCATCCCTGTTTCACATCCTCCAGGCAGCACAGAAGCCCACCCTTGAGGAGAGCTGGGACAGGTAGGTGACGCCCCACTCCCAGGTATCCTGACCTCAAGAACATCAGGTACCACCCTCCAAGTTCTCCCTCCCTCTATCTGTCAGGATGCCTAAAATTTTGCCTTGCACAGCACATGGCACATACTAGGCACTCAAGAAATATGCTAATCAAGAATCTTTACCCCAGTTCCTCACATATGCTATTTTAATGGGCCCTACCCAGGACCTGCCAGGATTGGCCACAGGGCTTCCATTCTCCCCGCCCCACATCTTCATTCTCTGGCTGCCCAAGGATGAGCATAGTGGCAAGGGAGGCCCCCGGATTCCTCTAGAAGTATTTTTCATAATCTAAGCCCCAGCAAGAGATCTGAGAATTCCTCAAACAGCCAGTGTGCATTTGGGCAAAAACACTCGGCCTGCCAGCTCCTCAACATGTCTATTAGAGGCATCCGTCAGCCAGCCCTCCGGGGCAGTCTAGGCTGGGAAACCTCAGACCTCCAGGAGGCTGCTCAGAACCCTTTGGGGGCTGTCCATTCTGTGCCAGTGCCTCATTCCTCTCCCAAGCCCCCTCTCTGATCCCCATCAGCCACAGCTGGCTCCTGAGACAGCAGCTGCTTGTCTTCCCTCCTGGGCTGGGGACACATCTGGATGTGGCAGCACCCAGATAACTCCCGATTACCTTCCCCACTGACTGCACAGAAACTGAGCAATTTCTCCAGCCCCCACCCCACCCCCAGGGAAAACAAAGCTGCATGTTCCCGCAGCCAGTGTCCTCACTAGCCAAGGAGATTATGGCTGCATCCGGTTCTAGGAAGAGTGAGGCCAGAGTGTGTTCTTAGGAGGGCAGAGAGGCACCAAGGGATCTTGTAGCTCCCCAAACAGGGCAAATGGAGTGGGGTGGTGAGACAGAGTGATGCAATTATGAGGCAGTGGAGACCAAGGAGAAAATTAGAGAGAAAAAAGGGTGAAGGAGGAGGAGGAAGCCTCTTTTTGCCAACGATTTTATTTATTTCTATTCTCTTTGAAGTTAGACTTCAAGTGGAATCAGGAGGAGAAAAGCAGGAAAGAAGAGAAGGAAAAAACATCAGAGAAATTAGGCATCTGGTGTATGCTTCTCGAGTTCTGCAGGGGGGACTTGCTCCATGCCCAGAACCCACACCAGAGGTTGAAGGCCAGGAAGCCCACCACCCTTGGGGATGTGACCAGACAAGAGGGGCTTTCTGGGACAGACTTTTTCTAGGAGACAATAACATGGCTGTCTAGATTATTTCTGCTTTTCTCTCTCTTTTTTTTTTAATTGACAGGACATCTTTATGTTGCACAGACTGGCCTTGATTTCTCAAGCAATCCTCCTGCTTCAGCTTCCCCAGTAGCTGGGACTATAGATGCAAGCCAACTGGATCATGTTTTTGAAATCTATGGTGTCTACTACAGTGCCTGATATACTATATTAAGTAGTTGCTTAATAAATAATAATAGCCATGTACTGGGAGCTATTCAAAGTCTTTTTTCTTGTTAATTTATCTTATCCTTCCACAAGACTATGAGATAGATAATATGCTCTTTATGCTACAAAATAGAAAGTGGAGGCAGATCACAGAGTTTAAAAGAGTCAGAGGTTGGATTCAAGCCCATGCAGACTGATTTGAAAGACCGTACTTTTTAATCACCATGCTCTACAGATTCAAGAGACCATGGAAGCTATTTAAATTCAATTCCTTGTTTTTATAAACTAAGGATTAGGACTAACGAGAGGAAGGGACTTGTCCAATACCCGAGGCACTAGCCAGCTACTAGCAGAGCTGGGATTTGAACCCAGACCTCCCTTCATTCAGTCCCAGGTTGTGAACCCCCTTCCCCACTTGTTTAGGAATAGAATAATGAGTTCCCTCCAAGATTTGAAAACCAACTTTTCAGCAACAGTGGTGTCTGCCAGGCTTTGGAAATTGGTGGAATCTGGCTCCTTTTCTGGCTCACCCCATGTGGCTATGTGGGCTACCCAGGAAATACCCAAATTCTTTAGGTTGTGACAACCCAGTCCAGCAGAAGGATATCAAAGCTGCAGGTCCTCTGGGGGTAAGCAGGGGATTCCCTGAGGGAAACTGCTGAGACTATCCCTCAGGAACTAGGGCTCTGTCTGAGGCACCAGGTCCTTCTGGGCCCAGTCAGGGACATGAAGTGTCCGGTGTGGACTTTCTGTGCTTGGACTGCTGCCCGAATTCCCGGTTCTTTGGTAACCTGAATACTTAGCATTTTCAGGGTAATTTTTCTCCCAAGGCAATTGTTCTGGATCACTAATGTCTGGTACATAAGATATCATTTTTGATTCAACATATTTAAAACTCATTTTTCCCCTGGACAAGACAAATTGAATTTGTAGCTTCCCATATGGGGCTTTTCAAAAAAGATTGGCGCTGGGATGCACTGGGTTCCCAGACTGATGTCATTTGATTAGTCCTGGCATTCCTTTCCCACTTCTGGGGTGGGGGGTAATTGTAGTTATTCCAACTGGGAGAAGGTATGATTTGGTTTTTCTCCTCTGGGGAGAAAACAAATCCTATCAGATGGATGAGTTTCTGGCATCTTCTGTTTTTCTCCACTGCCTGGAGACAACTTCCAGAATAGAAGCCTCCCAGCCACATATAACCTGACCATCTAGGGAGGCCTCTGCCTGGGCTGGAAAGGGCGGGGTTTACAGGGCCTGTCATTCACCTCAGACAATGCTGGGCGGGAGCTCAGGCCTCTTCAAATGCCTGCTTGGGGGCTGAGGCCAACTCAGCTGGGCTCCCAGAGTGCTCTGGGGCTGGATCATCCATCCTGCGGGGACCCAGGACCAGTAAATACAAAGGGTCCTAGGGACAGGGCTGGAAGAACAGGGGCTTCTTCTCTGTGTGGGGGGTTCATTGACCTTGTGTGGGGGGTGCCACTAACCTTGTTCACTTGATTGTTCAGGACGCAGGTGGTGTCTGGATGAGAGATGACTGTCTGCAGGTTTCTAGGATGGTGAAGAAGGAGGAGGGGGTTCCCACTTTTCCCAGAGGAGCTATTGTGGTGGAGCTATTGTCTCCACTGGCGACCACGGCTCTCTTCTTTTCCTTGGTAACAGTAGATCACGTGAGTGGCGTGGAAACTAACGAGGCCTCTAGCCATCTCTCTGAGCTGGCTTTTCAGTGTGGGAGCTGAACACAGAGGATACAGGCGAGGAGGTGGGTGAGAGATGAGAATCCCTGTGAGGGAAGCTCTAGTAGATTGTTCGGGACTTAAAATCTCCTCAGCCCTCCAGGCCTTACCAGGTTCATCCCCTCCCTCCCATGACAAAGCCCCAGACCCACTCCCAAAGGGTAGGAGAGAAGGAGCTGAGGGAGGGGGAAGCAGTGCCACAGCAGGTCTGGACTGGCAGAGTGGACTCCTGGGTGCTTGTCACAAGCTAGAACTGCTGCTATCCAGGGGGCCAGGCTGGGGCTGCAGCTCTTGGACCTGTTTGGGTTGCCAAGTGCTGACATGCTGAGCTGGACTCTAGTCATGGCGTTTAGTGGCCCAGTGTTTGTGTTTTGTCTTTCTGGGTTACTGTAGTTTGTGTACCACAATAAGAAGTGGAACTGGGAGTTAAACTGAATCAGTTTTGCAGTAAAGCCTAATCTTGTTAAATAAATAAAGCTTTGAATAAATGCCTGCTTATTACTTGCCAGTATTTTTCCTGCTGCCCGAGGCAACATAGCTCTGTCACCTTTAGCCAGTTGCTTAACCTCTCTGAGTCTGTTCCCATATCTATAGAAAGTGAGTATAATACTATTTGCTTTCCTCCACCCTGATTATTGTGGGGATCAAATATAATAATGTAGTGAAAGTCCTTTATAGATGGCAAAGTGCTGTTCCTCTGTAAGGGATCATTATAATCATCATGCCTATTGTAAAGCAACTAGAATAGCCATCCCTGACAACATAAAGTGCCAGCAACACAAGCCCCATTATAAGGGAGGAAAAAAAGAACCAATTTTCCTAGTGGAAAAGAGTGACCCTAGACAAAGCAGAAAGATCAATAAAATAACCCCAAGAACAATGACAATTTGATTTGATATCAGGGCCCACTCCAGTGTAGCCAATAACAAAAGTGTTCTTCATTCTCATCAGAAGCAGTTGTTGGAACCAAGGATAATCACTCCACCCTTTTCTAAGCCTAGGGTCGAATATTATTTTTATATTTAATGCTGTATGGTTGAAGTTGAGAGCCAATCAGTGCTGGATTTGGTTCTCAGTATGATAGGAAAGAGTTGAAATTTCTCCCTGTCTCAGGAAGAAATCCAGACTGAACTCATATCTCCCTTCATCTTGGTAAAAGAAGCATCTTTTCCTTTTGGAAATTACTTATCCATATTCTCATTCCAAGTGAGATTGACATTTTCCTTGGTTTGACTAAAATCTGACTGGAGTACTGCATTTTCCTGGCCACAGTGATTGGTTCAGCAAGAGGCATGTGATCCAAACTAGGCCAATGAGAGTCTTCTCTGGGACTTTTATGGCCACAATTAGGAAGGAGAGGTTCTCTTTCCTGGAAAGTTGTCAAACTGGAAGATATATGCCTGGAGTCTTTGGCGGTTACTTTTACCACCACCTAAGAATAAAACTAATGCTGAAGGGAGTAAAACTGAGAGGGTGATCCTAGTTGACATGATTTGAGCCCTGGATTAACCATGTAGGGAAGACAAGTCAGGGCAAGAAGGTGTACCATGGGCTTGTGTGAATAATTTTAGTGGGCTCTGGCACACGGGAGCTATTTCTAGCTGTCTGGTACCTGGCCCTGAGGTAATTAGGACAGGGGATAGTGGTCTTGTGTGTAAAAGCCCAATAGGAGAGATGGTTGTGTAGACTCTGGATTGATTAGTTTCCACTGAAAGGTGTGTTTCCCTTTAAATTCTTTGCTGTCTCTGGGGATTAGCTAACCTCTCCAAGGCCTGCCCCAGGATGCTCAGTAGCTCACGTGTCAAGAAGGTCACAAGATACTAAAGCATCATAAAATATGGACTAAAACACGAATAATCCAGCCAGGATGGCTGGGGCCTCTCTTCGTATGGCTGCTCATCCTCTTGGAGGCTACCCTAGGCTTGTTCATGTGGTGACTGAAGCCTTCCCAGCAGCAAGAAAGGACAAACCTCCACACAGAAGCACTTTTCTGGCCTTTGCTGACGTATTGTTTGCCATTGTCCATTGGGCCAAGCTTCACAGAGCCAAGCCACAGTCAGGGTTGGAGGAGACTACCTAAGGTGGTGGGTCATGGCTCAGGTGTGGGAGCCATCGCAGAGGCAGGCCACCTCCAGCCCTTCCATTGCAGGGCAACTCCAATTGAGAGATGAAGCCAGAGTTTGCCTTCTGCTGTTGATTCCCAAACCTCCTGCAATCTTGTGCACATGACAAGGCTTTGGCAACTGTATCTGCCTTGGGATCATCTAAGTGGACAGACGGCCTGTCTCCTCTCATGCTGCTGCTTTTGCTTCTAAACTTAACAGCTCCAATGCAGAGGGTACATGGGCATTCTGCTTTTGAAGTCGGACACCCATCCAAATTGACAGATATTTATTTTTTACCTACTGTGTGCCAGGAAATGGTCTAGATGCTGTGGATCTAGAGGAAAACAAAGCAGGCCAAAAAGACAACTGTGCCCGCTGGGAGCCTACATGCTGGTGGGTGAGGTAGGGAGGGAGAGGGAAATATTAATAGACAGATATGAAAGTAAAATATATGGATGTGAGGGAGGGTGGATGGGTGAGGAGTAAGGTGATGACTATGATTTAAAGAGCTCTTTGCCCAAGAGAGGTAGCAGGTCGGGTGATGCATGGCAGGGGCAATGCTGGTGGGGTAGTGGGAAGGTTTGTCTGAGATGACACTCACTTTGGACAGGGAGGTACCACCTGTGACTCAGCAGCCTTCAGTGCTAGGGGTCTGGCATAGGCTGTCTGGGGGGAAGCACAAAGGGGGATATTTTGCACACCTTCTGGTCAGGTTCCTTGGTCTACCTCATTCTACAGTCTGTGAATCCCCAGAATTCTGGAGAGTTCTCTCTATTGGGTAGAGTATAGGTGAAAATAGTGGCCCACTTCTGGCACTAGGAGGGGGCTGAAGAAAGCAAGGGGAGGAATGAGGACCAGCTTGTTCCTGATTTAAGCCAGATCACAAAGGATGAGGTTTTGAAGGTGGGGCTAAGGTGCCTCAAAAACCTAAGAGAAAAGGAAACAGGAATTCCATTTTCCTTCATAAATGGTCTGAGGACTTCTCTCTCTCCCTATGCAGCAGATTTAATAGGGAGGGATAAACAGGGAGGCATGCTGTAAAGCAGGGGCCCCATGATCCCCCTTGGAGTGGGTAGATGGCTTCTAGGGGCACTGGGAGGGGGCCTGAGGCCCAGAGGGGATGGGGCAGAGCTCCAGGCCCTCATAGTTGCTCCCTTGGCTTTTTTCTAGGAGCTTCTGGCCTGCCTCCCCAGCATCTTGCAGCTGGCTCTTACCACTCTCTCATTGTTTGGTTTGCTAAATCTCTGTTTTGGTTCACTGTTTCACACCCACACTGACAGTCTGCCGTCCCCCCAAGGCCCTGGGACATCTGCCAGGCAGTGAAATCAAATGTGAAGTTAAATACAACTCGGCTCCACATCATATTCCCATTCTCCCTCTTCCCTCCACCCCCCTTCCTTCCCAGGAATGCAGAATGCCCAGGCAGTGGAGGGGCTGTACTGACCTGAACCCTCCGAAAAATGTTTATTCTGAAAGCTTTACACAAAAGTAGGGCCTTCTATAATAGACTTCCAGGACCCACTGTCCAGCCTTAACAATTATCAACATTTGCTCTCTTGAATTTCTATAGCTACAAATATATATATTTTATAATATTTAGACTATATATATATTTTGAATATATATATATTTAGAACTTATATTTATTAAGAATATATACTTTTTTGAAGTATTTAAACCCCAGACATCATGCCATTTCACTCTAAAGTATTTTAGTTTGCATCAATAATGAATAAGAAAACAAAAATAATTAACCACCATGCTATCATCATACCTAATAAAATGAAAAATAATTCCTTATTACTGGGCACGGTGGCATATACCTGTAATTCCAGTAGCTTGAGAGGCTGAGGCAGGAGGATCTCAAGTTCAAAGCCAGCCTCAGTAAGTTAGCAAGGCGCTAAGCAACTCAGCAAGACTCTGTGTCTAAATTATATATATATATATGGAATTGGGGGCTGAGGCTGTAGTATAGTGGCAGAGCACTTGCCTAGTATGTGTGAGACAGTGGGTTCAATTCTTAACACCAGATAAAAATAAATAAAATAAAGGCATTCTGTCCATCTACAACTACGAAAAATTTTTTTTAAAAGGTGGGGGGTGATAGAGATGTGGCTTAATGGTTACATGCCCCAGGTTTAATCCCTGGTACCAAAATGATAATAATATTAATAAATTAAAATAATAATAATTCCTTATCATCATCTAAAATGAAATTCACATCCAGATTTTCCTCATTGGCTTAAAATTGTCAACATTTTGCAGCTTGTTTGGACCTATATTTGTGAACTCAAAATGAGGAGGTTTGCTAAGGAAGTTAAGAGTGAGCAGAATTCAAATAAGAAGTTTAACCTTCAGATCATTCTCAGGCTTCTTGCAGAATTTGCTTTCATGCTAAATTACAGGCTTGTTAGACAATTCTTAATTTTTTTTGGCCACCAAATCAAGATGGAGGGAAGGCCTGGGCTGTGCTGGACTCTATCCAATTGGTTATCATGAGGTGGTGTTTAACTCTCTCTGTTTAACTCTACTCATTCCCCTCACCCCTCTTCCTTTATGAGCCTTAAACCTCTTCCTCTCTGTAGATCCTGTCCTTATCCTTGCTTTTTTTTCTGGGTCAGAGGTGCCTCTCTGAAGTGGTGGAAGTCCCTTCTTCCTAGGGACGCTTTTACCTTTCTCTCTTAGTCTTGTTCCTGGGAATGGTCCAGGGGACTTTTACTGAGCTCAGTCTGAAGCTCCTGAATTTCTCTGGAGCCTTGCTTTGCAATTCTGTCAGTACCCACCTTCTTTTCAGTTGCCTGACTTTGGGCTCCTCCAAGAGCAGAACCTGAAACAAGGGCAGGAGGTTTGTCTGGGAGGTGTCCCTAGGAAGCAGGAGTGAGGACCAGGGAGAGTGAGGCAGGAAGGGGGAAGAGCCAGTAAAAACTGCCTCTTTGACATGGTTCCTGGAGTGGGCTCCAGGGCATCCTATGCAGATGGCACCCTCATGACTGCCCCTGTGAAGAGTGGGACACTGAGCATTTACCCACAGATCGCCCATTCCCCACTCAGTGATACCTGCTCCCACTTTTCAGACTGCATGGGTGGGGTGCTTCCTAGGGCAGGATGGTGGTTTGATGCTACAGGAGGGCTATGCAGAGGAACAGGGGGTCACAGCTGCTGAGTGTCCTAGGTTAACCAGGGCATCCAAAGCTTCTGCTACAGTGATTCCCATGCCCTTTACTTCCCTGACTTGTTAATAATAAAAACAATCACATGCTTTATTGAGTGCTTTCTGTATACCAATCATCAGGCTAATAGTTTCCCAAACATCATCCAATCTAGAGATCTGTCCCATGGTGCAGATGACAAACTGAGGCCTAAGCATCAAGTACTCTGGTGAGAGTTGTGGAGCTGTGTTTGAGGTGAGGCCTGGGCCTGGGGGACTCTGTCATCCTTCTTTGCACTCTTAATTGGACGCTGTGGGCTGATAACAACAGTATACCAGTGGACTCACCCCAGGACAATTATGTGGGTCTGACGTTACTAGACTCAGATTGTGACATTAAAAGTCTGGAGCAAATTACTCTAATGGGATGCACCTTTCTTGGTTGGTTGCTTCTACCACTGATTGTGTGGGAAAGACATTTGAGCAAGAACCACAACACTTCCCTTCTTATGCAGGAAGCTTCTGGGGTGGGATCTACTGAAAAGGTCCTGCTGGGTTGACTGGCTTTTTTCTCACTAGCCTCTGAAAAAGCAAAGTTATTCCTTTGAAGTTTAAACATGGCCAGGTGCTGCCTTCAGACTCTGTCAGCTATTTGGCAGATGTGACCTGCTGCCCGAGGAGGAAACAGAGAGAATGCCCAAGGTTGGAAAAGGATCTGTAAGGAGAATTGGAAGGACAGGCCCTCCATTTTGAGCCTGAACTGTCCCTGCCACAGAAGCTAGGACAATACTCCCAGGCCTCTGTTCTGGGGGCCCCTTACTGTGGGTGGCTTCTCATTCTCAGTGGGACCACTCAGGCTTGTGACTACTTAGAAAAAGCTGGTTTGGCCTTTCCCAAGTGTTTTTCCAAGGGCAGACACATGGTCCCCAATCCCTGAACCTACCTCAGATAGGCAGAAGGTGAGAAGATCATGACATCTGCACATTTCTAGGTCCCTTGAGATGATGAAGACTTAGCTCAGCTCCTCACCCTTAGATAGTGCCACTGCACTCTTTGATATTTTGGCATCCAGATGCCTTTCTCCCTGAGATGCCACCTCTGGGACATCTCTAATCTCTTCACAGGATAGAAGAACCATAAAAGCCCATTCTCCAGTGGCCTTCCCTTCCAGGACAAGAACACAGATCCAGAAACTTACTTGTGGCAATGGCTCAGGACCTGGCTATTGAACCAGTCTACCAGGGTGTGAGTCCCAGTGCCCCCTGGGCTAGCCTAGGGCCCAGAGGGGACTAACCTAGGGCAGCAGCAACAGGGACTCCCAGGAATGGGAGGTGGGTCTCTAGGTCTTCACAAGCAAAGTCATGTCATGGGACTATAGGGAGCATGAGATGTTATGATGGGTTTCATTTGTTTTTTTGAAATTTTGTTTTATTATCAGTTTTTCTGGGTATCTCATGGAGAGACCCTTGCTTGCCCATTCTCAGCCAGTGAGAGTCCCACAAGATTGCCCTGTCCTGGACAAACACGGGTGAGGATAATGCAGGTCTGGCTAGAAAAAAACCCTCCTTACAATGTTCACTGGCACTATTGACTGAGAAAGAGAGGCTCTTCTCTCATGATCCTGGGCACTGAGGATCCCCCAAACCTGGAGATGCTGGGGGCCAACTTTGCCATCACACAGGAGGGAGGGACTTCCCAGGGAAGAGTGAAGTGCAGCCACTTCTTTGAACTGCCAAGTAACCTCATGTGACGATCTCTTTCTGTGTTATCTCCTCTCTCAGGAGCTTGGGGCTCTCTTCCTTCTCCCTTCAAGGTATAGTATAGGTACAATTGACTGAATGTTTGTGTCCTCCTAAAACTCATATGTTGAGATTCTAACCCCCAAAGTGATGGCATTAGGAGGTTGGGGTCTCTGGGAGTGGAGCCCTATCAGTGGGATTAGACCTTTATAATAGGGAAGCCCCCACCCCCAGAAGCCCTCTTACTCTCTTTCTTCTGTGTGGGGATTCAGCCTGCTGTTCAGCAGAGGGCCCTCACCAGAACTGTGCTGGAACCCTGATTTGGATTTCCAGCCTCCAGAACTATGAGAAATAAATGTCTGTCGTTCACACCCTCCAGTCAGTGGAATTTAGTTTCAGCAGCCTAAGTGGATTAAGATAGCTGTTGTCTGCTTACGGTAGGGAAGTTGACATCCATGTTCTTCCTGGTAGGAACACTGAGAAACCTGTTGCTAATTGTGATGGAAAAGGAAAGAAATTTCACTTAAATCTGGATCCGATACTGGATCATTATCTCATTTAAGCCCCAAAGACACCAGCAACAGTTTTTGGCCCCAGGAGTGGTCTTTAAATTGCCCATAATGACTGCTTTTGACAGGCCAGCCCCCCAAAGCCCCCCAGGAACTGGATGGAACCTATCAGGTCCTGCATTAGCAGCAGGGATGACTGCTCTATGCCCCCCATGTGCCCATGTTCACGTTTTCTACTCCTGACTGTGTCTGTCATTTGTCTGCATTTTTTAAAAAAATTCTTTGCTCAGATTTTTGTTGTTCTGTTTTTTTGTTTGTTTTTTTTTTTTAAACAATTAACTGTTTCCCAGGGCTGATTTGGAGAACTGCACTGCTTCTGGTGCAGAATGTGCTCATTTGCCAGCTCTGGGCTTCAGGGTAATCCTTTCGCCTGAATAACTGGCGGCTGACTGTGGCCAAGCCCGGGTGGAGCTGACCCCAGCGATGGCTGGACGCCAGCCAGGCCTTGCCCTGTCACACACAAACAGCTCTCCCGAAGCCCCTCCACTACAGGCAACAGAAAACAAAGGCCAGGGGGCAAAGTTAATTTATTTGAAAAAAAAATTTTAAACAAAACAAAAATTTTATTGTTAAAAAGAAAAAAAGACAACCATTTGCATTTGGGAAGTTTCGCGTTCTGGAAGCCACTGTGCCAGGTTTGTGAACAAGCCTCAAGAAAATTCCTGATGAGGTGGGTGAGGTGACCTGCCACCACCCTCAGAGCAGGACTGGCCCTGGCCACCACACTGCATCTGCTCCAGAACCTGAAACTCGGCTCTAATACCCAACTCCTGTGCTCCTCAGGGCCTATTCAATGTATCCTTTTCCCTCCCATCTCTTCTTTCTCTACCTGTTGCTTTCACTCGAAGCTCACACTTTCACCTCTGCATCTCCACCCACCAAACTTCCAACAAACAGCTTCCTCTGACAGGCAATTCACATTCCTCATCTCCTTCAAAATCCACTCCCAAGTCCCTCTCTTCCAGAGAGAACTAGTGGTCTCCCTTTGCTCCAGTTTATCTCCACAGAGCGTACCTGGATTGAGGTACACTAGGGATCAGAGGCTGGACTCTAGGCCTGGTCTTCTGCATGTTGGCTGTGATAGTCTTGGGTACAGGGTAAGCATCCCTTATCTGAAAATCCAAGAGCTGAAATGCTCCAAACTCCAAAATGTCTTGAATGATGACATGTTGCCATGAGTGGAAAATTCCACAGCATGAAACTTCATTTCATGCACATAATTATTAAAAATATGGGATAAATTACCTTCAAACTGTGTATATAAGGTATTTATGAAATAGAAATGAATTATCTGTGTGCATTTGGGTCCCCTACCCAAGATAACTCATTATGTATATGCGGATATTCCAATAATGAGAAAAAAAATCCAAAATCCAAACACTTCTGGCACCAAGCATTTTGGATAAGGGATACTCAACCTGTATTTTCTTATTTTTGCAGTTTTAGTTATCCTGCATTAACAGAATGTACTATGCAGCAATAGAGGCTAACGCATTCTAAAAAGTATATAAATGCTACAGAGTGCGAACAGGGTTTCCTGAGCACTGTCACCCTCAGCTCATGCCACTTCCACCTGCTGAAGGCAACACTCTGCTTTCAGCTGTTGGGTGCCACCTTGGTGAGGCATCCACCTTGGCACATGGTGAGTGGGGGTTTTTAGCATGGGGATGCAAGTCCCTGATTTTTACGTTTATTTGGTGAGCTCTCTAGCCCACAGCACCAGTCAGGGCTGAGCACCAAGCAGGCACTCAGTCTAAAGTGTATTGCTTTGATTCAAGTTTCCTTGGGCAGAATCACTACTAACAATGTGACGGTGACACTGTGGCAGGGTGGTGGAAAAACCCAAGCCTCCTTGTTCATCTGCCTGAACATGACCTCCAGCTGAAGGGCAGTCCTACAGTCTGGCCAGGGGCCCTGGCACTAACCCAGAAGTCCCAGGGCTTAGGACCATCTGCTAAAGGATTTTCCTTTCCCACTGGACTAAAAATCCCCACAGAATGGGTGGAAAACATGGCCTTGCTTTGGCTGAACCAATCAGATGAGAACCACAATTTGACATGCAACCCACAATAAGGCCACTGCCATGTTATAAATCCAGTGTGGGATCAACCCTGGAATACTTAGAGGGTCACACCAGTGACACACTGTCATAAGTGTGGGACCCTCACTCCCTGAGCTCATCACTACCCCCAACAAATGGCCTTCTCCTTCAGCACCCTCCCTCCATGGGTGCCTAGAAAACCTCACAGTCCCCCTTCAGAAGTCATCTTGTTTGTTCTTTGCATTGAAACCACCCTAGTGTGGTTGTAGAAAACAAGATGACTTTACCCTTTCCCAAAAGCCTACCACACAAATGTTATTCAGAAAATAACATCTGGATCCTACCCTGTTTCTAACACATCCCCCACCCTGGGGTACATACGATTCACATTACACTTGATGAAATTCATCTTCTTTTTAAAATAACCCAGCCCTTAGGGCTATGTCATTGCAAACACTATACTGTAAAGTCATTCACAATAGAAACAAAAGCAGTCACTACAGAACTAACTTGAGAACCACCCGGCTGACTCTTGCTTAGACAATCCCAACCTTCTAGTCACTCAAAGTGGGTTTGCCTCAGCCAGACTCATGGATGGGATTGGAAACAACATCCCAGGGGCATGTGCAGCCCTTGCTGACCCCAAAGCATGGAAAAGCTGGTGCTTTGCTTTACATCCATTCAGAGTAAAATACATAATCAATAAATAAGTTCTTCCAACGTGTGTTGCTTGGGAGTTTCTAGCTGTGTGTGGACGTAGCCTTCATGGTGCTCCCTAGAATTCTCAAATAGAAACTTGTTTCTGAAAAGATCCAGAGGCTCTGCCCACCCCACTCCTAAAATCACCCTGGATTGCCCTGAAGCAAGCAGAGAGGGAGATGGAATGGGGAGAGGACAGGATGACTCTGGTCGATGGCTGAAGAATTTGGCGAGAATCACAGCAACAATCCACTCTGCTGGATGGACCCCCTTTCAGCGAGCGAGGAATCATGTGTATATATATCTTTGGTTTCAAGCAACGTGGAGTCTTCGCCTTTGGAAGGGTGGATTAGAGGAGGGAGAGACATGGACAGAGTCCTGGATAAAGGATGTCCATACAAAGCTCTCTTCTCCTCCAGTCACCTGGAAGCCAAGGTTTCTTCCTTCTCCATGCTCCTTGGGGGAAGAGCAGCGCTCAAGGCTTCAGCATCTGGGGCTGAAGTCCAGCTGCCTCAGCATCCCCTGTAGAGACCCTTGCAGCCTGCTCAGAGCCACTACCTCTGTGGAATAGAGAGAGGCTTCCAGGACACCATCCAGGCTCTCTAGAGTCTCCAGACCACTGGTCTGGGGCAGAGGGCAGCTCTTGGAGGAAGCCAGCAGGCGGAGAAGGTCCCGGAGGTTCTCCAGGTCATTAGATATTTGCATCACATTTTGGGAAGGCAGACTGGTGAGGATCTGTTGGTAGACTGCCAATGTCTGGTCCATTTTGGACAAACTCAGGACCGGGTGAAGCCCAGGAATGAAGTCCAAACCAGTGACCCTCTGCTTGGAGGACACCGACTGCTGTGTAGGAGGAAGAGGGAGGGCAAGTGCTCAGTAAGAGGGCGGAGCAACCATTCTGCACCACCCTCCACTGCCCCAGGAAAGTGGAGGCTCATTCTCTGGGTTGCCTCCTTTCCCCCTTCCTCACCTTCCTGGTCCAGGCATTTATTTCCTGGGCTCAGGTGACAGTGAGTCTCTAAGACGGTTTCCTGGACTCCTGCCCATATCCAATCACCCTACCTTCTACTTCTGACTTATCTTCTCAGGTCATTCCTTTCTCCAAATAGGTTCTGTGAAGACCAGCCATGCCTTCCTATTTTTTATTTAGTTGGGTTTCTTCCTAGACATCATAGGTCCTCTATAAGTACTCCTTTCCCTGCTGCCCTCATTCTCTTTCACCCCAGCAGATTCCTCCCTCTTGTTCAGGTTCCCCCTTCTTAGGGGTCAAGGTTACAACCTTCTTTGTGTCAATGACTCTAGCTTCGAGGAGGGTCTCTCCCCATCCTGGTGACCCACAACTTGCTCTCGACACCACCCAAGTTGGGACACTCTTCACCTCTCATGTGCAACCTTGCTAATTGACTATTTTGAATGAAGGAGAACTTAAGGAATTTTCTCTATGAAATGACCAAGACTCTGTCTAATTCTGAGCTATCTCTGCTTCTGGCCTGACTGCCAGAAGCCACTTCTCCCTGACTACCAAGGCCACTGTTAAACACCCACCATGGCCAAAAGATATGGAAACCTCCAAATGGCTCCAGACAGGAGTGCTTGCACTTGCCTTAACTAGTTTGAGTCTTACAACAACCTGGAGGTGACTGCATGAGGTTCCCATTGTACAGATGATGAAAGACACCAAGGAACTCACTTAGGGTCTCCCAGATGGAGAACAGATGTGTGAAGATTCACACTTAGTCTTCCTATTCCAATATAGACTCATCTGGGAAACAGCTGAAGGCCTAGTCTGTTGGACCCCAGAGAAAAGACCAGGGTGGACAGTGACAGCTGTTGACAATTACACAGAGGGCTGAATGGGAACAACCAAAATCCTGCCTCATGTGGCCTTGAAAGCAGATGGAGAGAGGCTGCAACTGAAACTCTAAGAACCCCTAGTGATAAGCACATCTGGAGATGGGGCAAGGCCCCACAGGGATGCTGCTAGTGTCTGTCAACAAGATACAAGGACATTTATGAGTTCCTCTGGTTCTGGGCACTAGGATTCAAAGAAAGGGAGTCAAGAAAGAAGGAGAGGGAGGGAGGCAGAAACAGATACAGAGAGGAGAGGAAGAGGGAGGGAGGAATTAAGGCTATCACTGCCAAAGTCTGAGGTCTGGGATTCCCCCATGTTACAGTGAAAATAAACACAGGTGACCTCTTAGTACCAGAGAATCCTATAATTTTTTAATGAAACCACAGGGCAAAGTTAAATGCTCTTAAAGTGGTTTAGATTTAGAACCACTCATCCCTGAATCCCAGCAGGCAGAGGGGCCAAGAGAAACAACCAGAAAGAATGGGCATCCTGAGCTTTCAAATCTTCCTAACTTCTAGTAGGTGTCTGGCATTTAGAAGATGCTCAACAAATGTTTCTTGAACTATCTGGTTCCAGTCCCAGTAGGAGCCAGCTCTGGGCTGGCCACAGTTCTTCTTTGTCCCCCCTACCCTTCCCTACCGTGTGTGAAATGTCATTGATCCTGGTGACAATAGTCTTGATGAGGGTTTTGGTGTCATCCTGGACTTTTCGGATGGGCACAGCTTGAACATAAGACAGATAGGGCCAAAGCCACAGGAACTGGCACAGGCGTCCACAGCGCATTTTCCTCCCCAGGATGTGCTTCTTGGGCCTGCAAACAGAGAACCACACGTTGCTAGAGCTGGTGTCTCAGAACACATGCACCTGCCCTGCTCCCAACCACATTGCTGGATGTGGGTGAAAATGAGATTTACTTTCTGCCCTGGATACCGTCAAAGTCAAAGACAATTCATTACCTAGACCTTTATTAATGACATGCATCCCCTTGGGAAGACGATTATTGCCTAGTCAATAAAACCATAATGACGTGTCCTGAAGACCACAAGCAGAGAGCGCGGCTGTGATCCAATGGATGTGGAGCTTTAAGGGGACGAGAACAGACTGTTAAGTTCTGGTTTGAATCCAGTCCTTCACTCACTGTATAACTTTAGGCACATGGCCTAACCACTCAAAACTCCACCTTCATCCCTATAAAATACCTATTTCCAGGTTTTTATGAGGATCAAATTAGATAATGCATGTGAAAGAGCTGGAAGCGGTTGCGAGGCGTACTTTTTCACTACCCTATTATTAGAGATGATGTTACTGCCTTGTCCTCCCCATTACTCTCACAGCAGCCTGCTGTCATCTGCGATGGCCTTTACTGCAAGCTTTATTACTTCCTTTCTCTCCTACTGGGAGGCTGGGAATCCACCCAGCACTGCTTTGCCATGTACTAACAAGTCAGATGCAGGGCGAGGCACCAAGGAATCAGGTGAACCACCGATGCCCTCTGCCCTGCAGTGTTTCATAGTTTAACAGAAGAGACAAAAAGTCTACAGGCCATTCCAGTACAGGAGTACAGAGCTTTGAAAGGGGAGCAAAAAAAAAAAAAAAGTCAGGAACCCAAAGGGTCCTCCCTGGGAGGGGTGTTGCCTTGGGCTGAGTATTAAAGACTGAGAAGGCATAAGAGTATAACGTGGTGGCCACAGGTGTCCAGGAGCTCAGCTGAGTAAAGACAGGGGCAGGATAGAATATGGCTCCTTTACCCAGAATGCTTGAAACTTTCAAAGCCATGGAACTGTTAATTCTAAAATTAATAATATGCAAGTCCTTGATCAAGCAGCAGAGTTTTAATGGGATACATGAGGCAAAACGTAATCAAGTTAAATGCAGGCAAGTCTATAGCCAATGATCCATGCTAAGTATGTGTGTATGAGCCTGAAATACTAATAAAATGTAAGTAAAAATTAGGATAAAGATTCTGGAAACATTAATCTCCGCTCTGTGCATTCTTTCTCATTGGGGTCTTGATGAAAACAAGTAATGCATTTTCTGTCCATAGGTGGCAATATTAGTATAATTCATTTTCTAGCAATATAATAAAAACAGTCTTTATATATTATCTATAATGCTCAAATATGTGTATTTTTTTTCCAAATCTGAATTTTACAGAAGAGAAAAAAATGAGGTTCAGGAAGACAAGACAACCTGCCCAAAGTCACATTGGTTAGTGGCAGAGCCAGGATGTTTATGGAACAGAGTTATATACATGCCCTTTACCCATGATTTTGCTTTCCAAGGTTTAAGTTACCCACAATGAACCATGATCCCAAAATATTAAATGGCAAATTCCAGAAATGAGCAACTCATAAGCTTTTAATTGTGCCATTCTGAGTGGTGTGGTGAAATTTTGCATTACTTCCTCCAACCCACCTGGGATGTGAATCATCCCTTTGTCCAGTGTACTCACACGGTATATGCTACCCACCCATTAGTCATTTAGTAGTGGTCTCAATTATCAGATCAACTGCCATAGTATCACAAATGTTTAACCATAATTTAATTAATAACAACCCAAATTGTAAAAGTAGTATGCCAAGGAGGCAAAAAAAAATATATATATATGGAAGGACAAATAAACTCTGGTACTGTGTGGCAATGCTGCAGGGCACATAGAGAAAAATTTAGTAATGTCTGCAGATTCAGGTAACTAATGGGAGTCTTGGAACATATCCCCCACAGGTAAGTGGGGGACTGTGATAGTGCTAATCCTTAACACCCTTGCAAAAGGAGGAGGCTATAGTGGAGTCAGGCCTTCAGGTTTCAACAGCCCACTCCTCCACTATTCGTTGTGTGTCTCCAGGTGAGAAATGTAACTTCCAAAAGCAACTGCTTCTGACAGAAAATGGAGTTAACTTCACCACCTGGCTCAAAAGGGTAAAAGAGATGAGCCAGTGATGCCCCTGCACACGGTGTGTGTCTGACTTGGGGTGGGGCAGAAAATGCCAGCTGCCCCAAAATGATCGTAATTCCGAGACAGGGCTTGAACTACTGGGGCAATAGCACCTGTAGCCAACTCTGAATCAAGCATGTGGCCCATCTCAACAGGGGACCTGCTATTTCAGGGTTCCCCCCTGTAGCACAAGATTGAGGTGCATTCTTTTCTAAGATTCCTGTGTTGATGACACCTCCTTCCTGAGTAAATTTATTACCAGATTAACCCTGGTCACATCACAGCCATTCTCACATGATGGCCACCCTCTCATACCTGAATGGAAAACAGGTTATATGCCTCCCTTATCACCACTGGTAATATGCTTCAGTGAATGCTGAGAATAAATTGCAGTTTTCCTTGAATGGAGAGGAGGAGCTGTTGCTGAGGAGTCTGCCTAAGATGGGGGACAGGCTCGGGAACAGCCAGGGGGCTGCAGAGCAAGTGATAACAGGTCATTGAGATCAGAGTGGTGGCAAGCACTGGTTGTGTTATGCACAACACACAGCACACATAACCTGGCAGTGGAGGCTGCTGGTTGTCCCCAGTGTCTAGTTTTCCTTCTTTGCCAGTTGTAGAATCTACAAAGTCTTAGTCGGAGTGTAAACATAAGAATAAATCCTATACTTCTTGGCTTCCCCCAGTAGCCATGGCTATGAAGCTAAATTCTGGCCAATAAAATATAAGTAGAAGTGTCACGTGACAGTGCTTAGGACCCCATTGTGTGTCTTTGCCTCTTCCTTTTTAATCCTTTCCATTTTGGGGGTGTGCGTACTGGGGTTTGAACCTAGGGCCTCATCTGTGTGAGGCAAGCACTTCACCACTGAGCCACATCTCAAGCCCTCTCCTTCCTTTGTTCTGATCCCTCATGTAGATGAGGGAGCCAGCATTCCAGCACCATCTTGGTTCATAAGGACAAAGGTCTCCCGTATGAATGGCAGAGCAAGGAGCTGCAGGAGCCTTGGTTCCTGAGGACTTCGTGGAATTGGAATTCCACGCTGGCCTTGGACAACTTGTCTCTGGACTTGTGTGTGAGAGAGACATGACCTCTGCTATGTGTGAGTCACTGTTGAGTCTCTGCTGCATACACCCAAACTTCAGGCTAACCAACTTAGCGTACCCCAATGTGGATATCATCAGGAAGGAGTGGACATCAAGTGTTCCTAGGTTCACCTGAATCTCAGTACCTTGGGGGTGAGGGAGAGTGACTGGGAAGGGCAGGTTTTAGGAGAGGAGGGGAAATTCAAGACGGTGAATTTAGCTTCAATGAGCGTAGTGCCTGAGGCACAACAATTACTCAAGATATATTTGATGGTTGGATGGTTGGCAGCTAACTCGTATTGATTTCCCATTGTAGGCGTATAGAGATGAAGATGACATTGACCACAGGAAAGCAGGAATCCAAAGATGGGGAGGTTCAAGCAGAGGCTGGGGGTTTTCCCAGGAAGCCCAGGTAGTGTATCACACCATAGGTAGTTATCACACTTTTGACTTTGCCAACTACTTTCATAGATTATTGACTAACAATTTTAAAAACAAAACTGTGCTCTTCTGGTTTGAGAATTTGAATAATTAGTTGCTATGCAAAGAAGAACTGAAATTTATAAATCTACAGTTCAAAACTACTTTTGAGTCAGAATATATAGATTTTGCAGAAAGTTAGCTCATCTCTCTGAGATTCAGTCTCTTTAGTTATAAAATGGGGATGGCATCAATCATAATTCCCCCTGTGGCTGTTAGGTGGCTGTCATGAGATAATGCATATAAAGTGCTAACTCTGTGCTTGGCATGTAGCCAAACCCAATATATGTTAGCTATTATCATTGCTATTTCAGAAGGAATTGCGGAGGTCTTGTGGAAGAGGTGGCATTTGCTAAGGGCCCTGAGAATAGGTGGAACTGGGTTTGTGAAGATGAAGAAGAGAGACAGTCCTGGCAGAGACTGAAAAACACCAGGCAGGGGGGTGGCTAAGAAATGGGTGTGCCCAGCTGGCTCCAGAGGGTGACAGGGAGGAGGGGGCAGAGTGGTCGGGATTGGGAAGGTGGTGAAAGCCAAGCAGGAAAGTTGCTCTTTCCTCCCCAGAACTGAGAAACAAATGTTTCAGCCTCAGTGACTAGAAAGATAGTACCAGATACAAAGTGGGAGGGACACATGGAGAAGTTTGGGAAAGAGGAGATCTGGGACATGTTGATCTGCTGATACTGCTGGGACATCAGGTAGCCTCCACAGCAGCCCATTGGAACCCAAAATCTAAGCTTAGAACGGCTGTGGGTGTAACCACAGGAGCTGCACAGGAGTGAGTGGAGGGAGGGAGCTGAGGGATTCGGTGGGCAGGGAGAAAGGTCAACTGTGGGTCCTCTAGAATTTTCCAAAGTAGGCTTGAACATTCTGGAGCTGTCATAAGAGATGGAAGATGAACTTCTGAAATGTTGAAATATAGCGCCCTGACTGTTTACTTCTGGGGACAGTTAAAGCAGGACCTGTGCTCTTCTGGTTTGAGAATTCTGGAGAAAAGAGGGAGCGGTTCCCAGGAGGGCAGGGAGTGGATAGGCCAAGGTGGGCAATGGGCCTGCTCTCAGATATGGTCCTCCTCTCTGCCTCTCCTTCACCACCCACTCCTCTGTCATACCCAGCTTTCTCACTAGCTAGCTTTCCTGCAGACTACCTTCCTTCTCCTTCCATTAAGGCCCTGCAACTCCCATTATCTCTACCACCTTGCCCTCCATGGTGCACTGGAGAAGAAAACAGAGGCCCAGGGACAGCACCAGAGGATGAAATATAAGCACAGTCAACAGGCTAGTGGCCAGCAGGAGGGGCTCATGACCACACCATC